CACACCGGGTTCTAGTCCCAGTTGGGGCTCCAGATTCTGTCCCGGTTGCCCCTCTTCCAGGCCAGCTCTCTGCTATGGCCTGGGAGTGCAGTGGAGGATGGCCCAAGTCCTTGGGCCCTGCACCCCATGGGAGACCAGGAGAAGCACCTGGCTCCTGCCTTCGGATCAGTGTGGTGTGCTGGCCGCAACGGCCATTGGAGGGCGAACCAATGGAAAAGGAAGACCTTTCTCTCTGTCTCTCTCTCTCTCACTGTCCACTCTGCCTGTCAAAAAAAATCTTATAAAAATACTATATATCTATATCTATCAATCTATGAAGAATCACAAATAAGCATACAGATCTATGAGTTTTTTTTTGTCATCTGATCACACTCATAACCAACACCCAAATTAAGAACAAAGCATTGGGGCCAACGCTGTGGTGTAGTGGGTAAAACTGCCACCTGCAGTGCCAGCATCCTATATGGGTGCCAGTTCAAGTCCTGGCTGCTTCACTTCTGATCCAGCTCTCTGCTATGGCCTGGGAAAGCAGCAGAAGATGGCCCAAGTGCTTGGGCCCCTGTATCCACTAGGGAGACCTGGAAGAAACTCCTGGCTTCTGGCTTCAGATCGGTGCAGCTCCAGCCATTGCGGTCAATTGGGGAGTGAACCAGCGGATGGAAGACCTCTCTCTCTCTCTCTCTCTCTCTCTCTCACTGCCTATGCCTCTCTGTAACTCTGCCTTTCAAATAAATAAATAAATCTTAAAAAAAAACCAAAAAAATCCCAAAGCATTGCTACTACCTTAAGAATTCTCACTATTCCCCGACCTCCATTTCTTTTTCTTAAGACGTGAAATAAGAGTACAATATCATTTATATGATTTGATTCAGTGAAGCAGTATTTATGAATATATACCAAATCATCTGACATCATACAATTTTATGATCGCTCTGTATTAACACATTAATATATACTCTATATATTATATATATATATTAGAGAAAACGTCATATTTTTCTTTTCAGGTCTAGCTTATTTCACTTAGCATAAGGATCTCAAGTTGCATGCATTTTTTGCCGGTGTCAGAATTCTTTTTTATGACTGGTTAATATCCCATCACTTATATATACACCTCATTTTCTTTATTCAGTCATCAGTTGATGGAGATCTACGTTGATTCCATATGTTAGTTATCGTGAATGTAGCTGCTATAAGCATGGAAGTAGAGACAATTATTTCCTGTGCTGCCTTCATTTCCTTTGGATATATCCCCAGGAGTGGGATAGCTAGACTCTTGCCACCCCCGCAAGCGGCGGTCATAGTTCCCCAGCCAACACTTCCCTGGAACTCGAGTAAGATATAGTTCTCTTGACATCCCCTCGTTCTATTTGCCTGCTACCCTTCTCACTGTCCTCGGCTCTGTGTCTGTGTAACACACAAGTATTCACTGACCAGCGTGAGAACTGGAAGGTGAAGACAGCAAGGGAGCTGGCCGCTTTTGTACACCTTGTATTGGAATAGTGAAGACCCTGTGTAATCAAACAAATGTGTGTGTGACGTGATGTCTTAGGGGATATGTCCTATGGAGAATATTATTCAATGCAAAGACAGTGCGCAATTTTATAGAATAGGGTGAGGAGAGGCATTTGTATGTGGGACAAAGATCAGAACTTGGACTAGAGGGTGTACGATGGTTTTGTGAAATAGCATAAGAATAATGAAGACAAGACACCACATGAGAAAACAAAGAAAGCTCCACCCCGCCCCGCTGCTAGGAGACCACATAAAAACCAATTAGACAAATAGATGTGCTGTAGCCACAGGAAAAGCCACTCTGTTTGAGGTAAAAATGTCAAAGAACGTTTTGTTGTTGACTGTTGCCTTTTGTGAGTTGCTGATTGGTTGTCTGGCCTCATTTTTTTTTCCTGTGAGGGTGTTTGATAATTTTCTTCACAGTGCAAAGATATCATTACCGCTGCTGTTGGAGAAACTGAATTGTAACTGTCGTTTCTGTTGGGAATCAGATTTAATGGGAACGTTGTCGGAACCAAGGCTCTCTCTCAGGAGCTGCCTGGGCGTCTGATTTAGAGAGCGTAGTTCTTCTGTTTCTTTAAACTCAGGGCAGCTACCGGACGTTGGAGGCAGCAGTTTCCAAGTGTTTGGGAGAGTCACGAGCTGGAATCTATGGGTCCTTGTCTCTGCACTCTTCAGGGAAAGTTAATCCACACCGACCGAAAGGGCGGGGCCTGCGTCGTGGGCGGGGCCTCGGAGTGGAGGGACAGGGACCCAAAGACACCTGGCAGGGATGGGCAGGGGACGCGCCGAGAAGGGGGCTGGGGTGAAGAGCCGGGTGGGCGTTTAGAGTGAGGCCGCCCCGTGGCGCTGCTCCCCAGGTTCTCCTGAGCAACGCCCTGGCGCGGCTCAGCGGCTCCCAGGAGGCTTTCTCCATCTGCCCGGAGCTCAACATCAGCGTCTGCCCGCTCAGCCAGACGTGCTGAAGGTCTGGGGCCAGGAGTGATGAGTGGGCAGTGGGGAGGGGAGGAGATGTGCCACATGCCAGGTGGAGAGAGGAGAGGTGTCCCGTGTCCCTGAGGGAAGAGTGTTAAGGGGGCTATTGAGGGATCCTCCCAGGGCTGCTCCCTCTCCTGGAGATGTACAATGACCATTCACACCCAATGTCAGGATTACTGGAAGCACTGGAATTTGGGACTGGGGTGTTCCCACTGGGGCCATGCATGGGGAGGAACCAGGACAGGTCACTGAGGTCAATGGGAAGAGGAGTTGATATTGGGAGTGGAGATTGTAGAGGTGGAGTTTGGATAGATGCCTGGATGAGCTGCATTTAGGGTAGGTGTCTGTTGGGAATGTAATTTTCCCCAAAGGCTGTCACTGATTTTTCCTCTTCAGGCGTGAAAGGGAAGACAACAGCAGCACCCGTGTTTGTGCCGGCTCAAGAGCCTGGGTTGATGTTACTGCTCTTGGGATGCATGTCTTCCTGCTTGGGTCATTGTGTTAGGATATTGTTTTGCCTGTTCTGATTACCCAGATACACTGGGCCTCAAACAGGATGGAATACTTCTTTCTTTTTTTTAAGATTTATTTTTATTTATTTGAAAGGCAGAGTTACAGAGAGGCAGAGGCAGGGAGAGAGAGAGAGAGAGAGAGAGAGAGAGAGAGAGAAAGAAAGAGAGAGTTGTTCCATCCACTGGTTCACTCCCAAAAAGGCCTCAATGGTCAGAGCTGAGCCACTTCAAGGCAGGAGCCAGGAGCTTCCTCCAGGTCTCCCACATGGATTCAGGGCCCAAGGACTTCTGCCATTCTCTACTGCTTTCCCAGACTGTAGCAGGGAGCTGGGTTGGAATTGGAGCAGCCAGGACTCGAATCAGCACCCATATGGAATGCTGGCACTGCAGGCGGTGGCTTTACCCGCTACACCATGGCACTGGCCCCACTTTTTTCTTTCTAATAGAAAGTCTGGCGGATCTATCAGGGAAGGTGGGGTGGTTCCACAGCCACCCAGGCCCCTTTCTAATTACACTGTCTTCCACTAGAGTTAGCTCCTCATGGTCCACCGTGGCTCCCAGGCTCCAGCCTTTCCATCTGCATTTGAACCAGTAGGAGTGGGGAAGGGGGAGGGACCGCTGCTCACCCCGCCCTGATGTCTTTCCCTGAGACAGGCTGTGGTCCCCTAGCCATGATAGCCTCAGGGAAGTTGGGACAATGTAGTTTTTGCAGAGGGCCACGTGGGAGGCTAGAACTCAGCTCTGAGGAGGGGAGGGGAGGTTAGGTGGGCAGCCAGCATATGGGCCTCACTCAAGACTTCTGGGCAGGGGCTGAGGGGGAAGTGTGGGCATCACATCCAGGCAGGTCCTGGTAATGGCTGGGATTCCTGTGCAGTTTTGGGCTGGACGCTGATGGAGGCTTCTGGAGGGTTCACAGCAGGGGGCATTTGCACACCTCCCCTCTGCCCAAGGCTGGGCTGAGCCCCGCCCTCTGCCCTGTGTGTCCTCAGACGCCCTTGGTGCAGGAGGTGCACCAGAACTTCTCAGCCTGGTGTGCCCAGGTGGTTCACATGTACCGCGGACAGCGCCACCTGGAGCTGGAGTGGACAGTGGGGCCCATCCCTGTAGGGTGAGTGCCTGGGCTGGGGCTGGGCACAGTGCAGAATGGGGTTGATTAATATTTTAAAATATGAAAGGAAGAAAGAAAGGAGAGGGGCCCAGTGTGTGGGACAGGGGGTTTAGATGTCCTTGTGATACCAACATCCTACATTGGTGGGTGGGTTCAAGTCCCGGCTGTTCTGCCTCTGAACCAGATTTCTTCTAACATTTCTAGGAAAGCAGCAGAATATGGCTCAAGTATTTGACCACCTGCCATCCATGTGAGAGACCCAGAAGGAGTTCTGGGCTCCTGGCTTTGGCCTGGCCTACGCCTGACCATTATACTCATTTGGGAAATGAACTGGTGGATAAAAGATATCTTTCTCTCTGTCACTCTGCCAATAAATAAAAAATGATATAAATCTTTAAAAACTTATTTATGTAATTTCAAATGGAGAGAGACAGAGAGAGTGACAGAAAGAGCTCTCCATTCCACTGGTTCCCTGAGAGCCCTGTAGGCAGATTTCTTCCATCTGCTGGTTCCCTCCCCAGATGTTTCAAAGACCTAGAGCTGGGCCAGGTGCAAGCTGGGAGCTGGTAGCTCAACCTGGTCCCCGTGTGGTTGGCAGGGCTGTCACTGTCACTGCTGTCTCTCGGGGTCTGCATCAACAGAGGCAGGAAGCAGGAACACAGCTGGGACTCAGGCCCGGGCACTGTGATATGGGTGGCAGCATCTTAGCCACTGCCCCCAACACCGCTCAGAGTGAGTTTAGATGAGGCTCACGAGCTTGTTGTCCCATTGGGTAGTGACAAGTGGAGGAAGGAAGTGATCAGTCGCTTCGACACGCTGCTGGACACCAAGGGCTACTTCTACACGGACAGCAATGGCCGGGAGATCCTGAAGAGGAGGTGACAGGGATGCAGGGCACCCGCTGGGCAGTGGTGATGTGTGGGGGCCCAGGGGTGGGGGCGCTGGCTGATGGTGTGAATGTGGAGCGCCTCTCACTGGTGGCATCTCCCAAGTGCCTGGGGCTGGCTCCCCACCCCGCCCTCACGCTCACCTCTGCCCCAACCCCCTCCCAGGATGGGAAGAAGCAGCTGATGGTGCTGATAGACTGCTCACAGGGGGGCAGCAGCCTGCGGGACGGCTCCCTGGAGCTCATGGTGGTGGGAGTAGGGGAGTTCCAGCCACGGTAGAGTCCTCCCACCAAGTCCCCTGGGACTTTGGACAAGGATACTGCAGGACTCTCACCCTCTGCTGGCCACTCCCCCCAGGTGCACCGAAGGCTGCTGAAAGATGACAGACGTGGCCTGAGGGAGCCACGGCTAGAGAAGTCAGGGTCGTGGGTGCGGGGGCGCCACCTCGCGCTGCTGGACGTGGTGGGCATGGCGGCCACAGGGCACTGGCTGCTGGCGGAGAAGGAGGTCCTGGCCCTGCAGGTGGTGCTGGCGCTGGGGGGTGGTGCCCTGTACAATCCTAGAGCTGCCATGTGCACACAGGTGAGGGCCAGTGAGATGAGGAGGATGCTTGGGTGCCACCCCACTGGACCTTAAAAGCTAGGTACAGCCCGAGGTCCCGCCCCTTCGCCTCCTGCTTGTCTTGGTCCGGCCCCATCTCTCTTCACCCAGGTCCTGTTGCCCTCCCAGCTTCCCCCTTGTTTTCCCATCTGGCCCCACCCCTTCAAAACTGTGGTTCTGGGCTTGCACCTGTACTGCCCAATTTGGATGCTCCCATTCCTCTGCTTGGCTCAGCTCTCCAGGATTCTTCCCACTCTTTTCAGCTGTGCCCCGCCCCTCCTCCACAAGTCCCGCCCCTCCCCAACTCAGCCCCGCCTGTGCACCTGCTCACACTGGCCTGCTGGGGCCCAGAGCTGCTGCTGCACTTGGAGCACCAGTTTGCCAGTGGGGAAGACTCAGGCCGCAACTTGAGCTCCCCTGTGACCTTGGATTTACAGGTTAGGAGAGCAGAGGTGCAAGACAGACCAGAAATGGGTGTGAGCAAGAGATGAAGTGGTGGTGGGGAGCCATGTTGGCCCCCACTGATTGGATCCTGTCCACTGTTCCACAGAACCTGTTCTCCACCTTCACCATTGCCTGCCTGCAGGAGACCATGCTGGCTGCCAACCATCTCCGGGCCTGCGCCTCCAGGCTCAGGCTCAAGTGGACCCCAGACACCAGTGGGCACCTAGCATGGGAGGGGTGGGCTCCTGCCTGGGGCTGGCGGCTGGGGGCAGTGTATGAGGAATGGGAATATGGGCCAGGATCCAGTATAGAACCTGAGGACCCTGGGCAGATCCAGGCTCGGGGCTTCAGAGTCCCGAGTGGGTTCAGCACATGAGCAGTAGGTTGTGTGGGTTGAGCATTCAGGCCTGGGAACAAGTTATAAACTCTATCATGTGCTCAAAATCTGTAGCTTGCTGGATGATCTCGAGACATGCACACCCAAAGAGGAGTGTGGGTGTTAGTACCACCTTCGCCCCAGAAGGAACTTTATGGTTTTACTGTCCTGGAAATGGCTCACAGCATATTTTTGGAGAATTTGATTATATAGGGAATCACAGCTGATTGAGTACAGGTGGCATGGTTTAATTCTGCTGTGCAGAAGATACTGGGTGTGATTTCATAGCTGCCATGAAGACGTCTCTCCTTCCGTTTCCATATTTTAACTGACCTTGTGGGTGACCTGTGGCTAGTCTTGGGATGGATGGTATCTGCTTGAGTTTCAGAAGCCTACTGAGAGGAGAGGGCTTGGTGTGGCAGATGCCACTTCCCAGCTAAAGAGAAAGTGTGCAGCCATCAACTCTGGACAGCTGAACTCCATTGTCAGGAAGCCTCCACCTGGCTGATGCCCTGGGTCTCTCGCATGGACCATCGCCTCAACAGAGTCCGAGGATCTGCTTGATTGTCAACTGACTGAACTCATTGGCTTTTTCCTAACCTCCACCTGTAGCTACTCTGTCCCTTGAAAACCCTTTCTGGGTCTGGCACTGTGGTGTAGAAGGTTAAGCCACTGCCAGCAGCAGTGGTATCCTGTATGGCTGCCGGTTTGAGTCCTGGCTGCTCCACTTCTGATCTGGCACCCTGCTATTGCACTTGGGATAGCAGCGGAAGATGGCCCAAATCCTTGGGCCCCTGCCACCCACGTGGGAAACCCAGAAGAAGCTCTTGGTTTTAGCCTAGCCCAGCCCCAGCTGTTGCAACCATTTGGAGAGTGAATCAGCAGATGGAAGATTTCTGTCTGTATCTCTGCCTTTCAGATAACTCTTAAAAAATAAATTTGCTGGATTGGTGTGTGTGGGGGGGCACATTTTGGATCCAGAGATCACTCCCCAAGCCTGCTGGCTTCTTGAAATAAACTCTTTTCTCTTACTGACGCTCATCTCTGGTGAACTGGCTGTCCAGTGGTGAGCAGCAAGGGCCTGGTGATTTTGACGGGTAGCAATTTCAGTACTGAAAAGTTATAAATATATTTTTCTGTCCTCTCACACAATCTATTCTGAGTAATTTTCCAGTGCTGTTGATAAGATTGGTTATTCCGCAGCTGCCTAGATGGAATGTTATGTAGGTCTCTACACATCCATTTAGGGCATAATTTGCTTTTTTTTATTTAAAGATTTTATTTATTTATCTGAGAGGCAGAGTTCTTCCAGATTCTGGTTTCTCTTCAGATCCTATAGATCTTTCACTTCTTACTAAAGAGAGTTCTTCCATCTGCTAGTTTACTCCCCAGATGGCTGCAATGGCTGGAGCTGGGCCAATCTGAAGCCAGGAACCAGGAGCTTCCTCTGGGTCTCCCACATAGGTGCAGGGGACCAAAGACTTGGGCCATCTTCTACTGCTTTCCCAGGCCATAGCAGAGAGCTGGATCAGAAGTGGAGCAGCCGGGACTTGAACCAGCGCCCTTATGGGATGCCGGCACTGCAAGTGGAGGCCTAGCCCACTACCCCACAGTGCCAGCCAGCCTCTGTTTTTTTTTTTGCCTGGGTGATGTGTCCATTGCTGCACGTGAGGTGTGAAAGACTGTACTTTTATTGTTAGAATCTAGTTTTTTTTTTTTTTTAATTTCCATTCTTATTGGCTATACATTTGGCCCTCCAACGCTGGATTATTTCCTATTGCTGAGTTAAACCCTTTACATTCTACTCCTTAAGGAAACCAAGATGAGTTCCTTCTATCAGCCACTACTCCCTACATTTTGATCGTCTTCTGAAACAGTGTGGTCTGGGCTGGCCCGGGCCGGCCCCAGGCACCCTCCTTCTGCAAGGTCACGGGGAGCCTGGAATCCCCTGGCCACCCTTGTGATGATTCCAGTTCCAGGAGGAGGAGGCAGGAAGGGGCCACTGGGCACAGGAAGAAGCCGCTGCCCGATCTGGAAGGCCAGGAGTAAGCGTTGCTGAAAACCGACT